ATTTGTTACATATGTTTTCTAAATGATAGTATAATTGTTGAAGACTTTTTCTGTGAAAGCATCAGTGAAGACGCAAAGGTTCAAAACTTATTTGAAATCCGTGACAAGTTTGTAACAGAAAATATTATAGCTTGGGAAAAGTGTATAGTTGTGTGTACTGATGGTGCTTGATCAGTGTCTGGTGAGTATGGAGCATTGGAAGCCCTTATTTGCAGTAAATCACTGCATTCTATGTGGACCATTTGCATCATCTATAGGGAAGCACTTGCATCGAAGTCAATGAGCTGTGAATTGAATTTAGTCCTGGAATGTATTATAGATGTAGTAACCTGCATTAAAAAAAAAAACTAGACTGCTGAATCCAAATTATTCAAAAAAAAAAAACTTTGCATGGACATGGGAGCTGAACACACAGCCCTACTGTATTACTGCAGCTCACGATGGCTTTCACATGCAAATGTCTTATCCTGTGCATTCGAGCTACATCAAGAAATTCACACTTTTCTGCAAGAGGAAGGTCATACAAACTCCAGATGCTTTGCTGAAGCAGACCTTTTTATTAACCACTTGCACTAAAAAGACATGCCACGCACGTTGACATGCTTTTGTCTCAAACCGCGAGCAACGTGAACACCACGTTGATAGGCGTTTATCACAAAAATGAAAATAACGTGGTGCACACATCGCCTGATAACGAGATTGTTTACTGGATTGTTATATTGTATCGCACGGCACCACAATTGTGAAGTTCAGTTGTAGCGCAAGTGGTTAAATCTGGCATATTTGTGCAATATATTTGACAAACTGAATACCTTGAATCTGTCTCTACAAGGCCATAATATGCACATCTTGAAACTATTGAAGAAAGTTTCGAAGTTTTAAAGAAAAATGAATGAGAATGGCGGTCAAGATTTTTCCCCCAGATTGCATAAATAAGCATCTTCTAATGAGCTTGTGCTCTCTCAAAAATTGCTGTCTCTTTTAAGGGAACAGCTTTTGAAGCTCACTGAATCGTTTGCAAAATACTCTGCGGAAAAAAATATCGAGAAATATTCGTAGATCTAAAATCCTTTCCATTCTCAAGATCCACTAGAACCCACTTCACAAGAAGAGAGTCTCTTTGAACTCTCTTGCAATACCAGCCTTTAAAACAAAATTTGTTTGTTCTGATTTGGTGGAGTTTTGGATAATTATCAAAAATGAATATCAAACTCTTAAGTTCAAAAGCTTTCAGGATTCTTATTCCTTTTGCAACATCGTATTTATGTGAAACCAGATTTTCAGCTGTAACTGTAATGAAGAGCAAGTATAGTACAAAGATCAACGTGGAGCAAGAAATGAAAGTGGCAGTGTTAAGTCTTATCCCTCATTTTGAGAAACTTTGAGGGGGATCTGCAAGCTAACCCATCCCATTGATTTTTTTTCTTATTTTTCTTTAATACTACTAATAATATAATATTCTTGTGTATCAATTCAGTATATACCTATATGTGCCTCAGATAGTTGTTTTCATTTCTATGCTTGGTGACAGTAGGGACCAATATACAGTCATATTTAGTGATGTGTTGCGATTTGCTATAATGCTATGTAGTAAGAAGGTTGTCAAGCACAAATCTTGTACAACACTTTGTTGAACACTATTAGGGCGCTGTGACAAAATACTAAACCGCTAAGTGCACTGTCAACTGAAAAAGTTTGGAAACTACTGGTTTAGAGATTGCAATGCTTCATGTGGCTTTAAGATATGCCACAAAAGTTCACATTCAGTGACTTTTCACATTCAGTGACTCATCAGCTGTTTCATTGCCCAAGACCCCAGTAGCAGCTTTTTTTTTTAATTGGCTTAACTAGTGGATGTCTGCTGTGCCCACCCTGAATGACCTGCAGGCTTGAAATAGTATCTGCCATTACTTAAATCCTGCTTTTAACTCCCTAGCTGTCCCATGCGTATATATACACCCTTCTGAATACTATCATTTGCTTTGCACTGCTACCAGTGAAATCATCCGCAAAGCTTTGGAATGCAACACCACGATGACCTTGACAGAGTATACAAAGCAGGATACTATTTCAGAGAAGAGGGGGATATTTCTCAAACGGTGAAAGTAATGACTGCATGGTATTTGCTCATGTTTCTTGTTTGAGTAAAACATATTTTTTTAATTCTGTGTCTTCCATTTTTGTTTACTGTTTGTAATAGGTGCCATGAATAAAGAAAGATATAACGAATGTTTCAAACCCACTTATCTTTTTTGATGAACTGCACGTGCTTCATATTGTTACTGAAACTAACCGTTTTGTAGACCAGTATATGAACCAACAATCCTGCAAAAGAAAAATCGGGCAAAAAATCGTAGCATCTGACCAATACAGAAGAAATACATGTTTTTTAGGTATAACACTGAAACCTGATACAGTCAAAAGTCGTTAATCCGGACCTCAAAGCGACAAACTTTCTGTGCATGCGTCAATGCATAATGTGTTCATGCATGCGTGTAATACTTTTATGCATGCGCACAATACATTTACGCATGCACGTTTAATGTATAACGGACCGTATAAGCTAAGCTAAAATTATCTAATTATCTATTTCAGTTAATGTTGCAGATTGCGTTGTTCCTTAATCTTCGAATTGGATCCGGCTTATTATTTTTTGCAAACTGTTGGAGCAATTTTATAAAAGTAAACTTGAACTTCGTATTTGACGGCATATAAGATGCACTTTTTTTCCTAAATTTGGTCTCAAAAAAGTTACCTGTGTCTTATACATGAAGGACACAGGTTAACTTTCAATACTGAATGCTATTTTTAGCCCTGATAAAGGTCTAGACACACATAACGTTTTCTACATCTGCCATGATTAATTTGTGCATGCGTGAACTATCTGTCGCCAAAAAGCGCCAAAGCTCGAAGCTGATGTCGAAGTTCGGACAGATTCAACGGTCACATTACGTCTATGGAGCCTTTCCTTCTTTACATAGACTTTCTTTGATTCAGTCGACACACGTGTCGGTATTGGTGCTACTCTGTATAAACGTGTCGGTATCGGTGCTTAAAACTATTTGTTTAAAAAAAATACCCTGGAAAATATGACTACAGGAAACAAGAGATTAAGCTATACAATTCAGTATAAACTAGGAGTGTTAAACTACTACAAAGTGCATGGAAACAGAGCAGCAGCAATGCATTTCGATCTACCACCTACCGAAAAAATGATACGTACTTGGCGACTGCAGGAAGAGAAGATCAACTGAAGAGTGCTAAAAAACAAAAACATAACCTTCGATGCCCAATTCCATCTTGGCCTGAACTTGAAAATGCCATAAAAATGTGGGTGATAGATAAGAGGAAATCTAGAAGTGTTTCAACCAAAATGATAATCAATGAGGCCAAAGAATTTGCAGAAAACGTGGGAAACGTGCAATGAACTGGAAGTTGATCTGTCAGCACTATCCTTATCTTCAGAGCAGATGTTTTTATTTTATTCAGCTTATAATTCCTTACTAAATGTAGTATTTCATCTCGATGTATTCCATCTTTGATATGATTTAAATAAAATTCCTCGTCATTATAAATATCACGAGTACACATCAAATAGTTTTCTGGTTGCAATTTTTTAATTTCAACTATGTGTAATGTATGCTTTACACATGCATGCGTTGAAAGAAATGTTTAATAAAGTAAACAAACAAATATTAAGCATTTTTTTGTAAATTTTGATACCCTTTAGATCATAATTGCTCTTTATTTCATAAATTACGGTTTCATATTTTTAATTTTATAATTTCTGCATGCCATCTTACTAGATTTAAACTGATGATCTATAACCCAGAATCGCCGAAGTCCCGACAAGTCCGGATTAAAGACTTTTGACTATATTTACACTTTACTGGTCTAAAAATAAATTGATTGAAACTCCATTTTTTTAGATCTTTTTTATTATGCAATCATTGTTTTTATTATACTTTTACTCTAAAAATTAAATTTTGTGCTTTCATTTTTTCTTTTATTCTTATGTAAAAGTAAACAGTTTTTAGAAAGTAAAACTTGCACTTATTTCTCCCCAATACAATGCATAACTACATGGGCCTGTGTGAAAAACTGTGGCACTGGGGAATAAATCTTGTACGTTTTTCCCGGCAGTTAGGGGTTAAGGCTACAGGTTCTGCCTGAAACACTGAATTACAGGTGTTAAACTTCTTCACCCAGGTATAAACTACAAGGTCATCATCCATTACATGCTAAGCACTTCTTGTTTCTGCTTGTGCTTTAGAGCCATTTATATATATAAATAAATGGCAGTTGCTTAATGTGTAAGAGAAATATAATTAACAGTTGTCAAACTCAGTCAGGTGGCAACGTTGGTGGGCAATGAAGTTCTCATAGTACATCTTGTTCACATTTTCCTTCAACCTGACTACTCTCACTGTGGCACTCAACCTTTGTACATTGAGGTGTTAGTAGTGTAATTCCTGTTGAAATAATTAAAATAATGGTTGATGTTCTGAATCCTCGGCAGATGCTGCATTCTGCAGAATTGAGGGCGGCAGTATTAGTGATAGAAGTATTGCTGGTTGAGTGTAATGAGTCACAAAAATGCCATTTTCAGAGATAGACTGAATTTTGATAGATTTATTTTTCTCCTGGTGTCTTCTCAAATTCAGTAGATGATATTTTCCCCTTCTTTTCCAATATAATGTGCTTCGGATGTTTTTGACTAAACCTTATAATTGCTTTGAAATAAAAAAAAGTCATAAAATTATTTCTTATATGAGAAATATGTGTTAATTGTGGTGTTTTATGTTATAAAGTAGTTGTTAGCTTGAAATTTTATTGACTGTATTATCCATATCTGTGTTTATGTGATTGCATCTGACGATGAAATAATGCGTTTTTTACTACTCTCGTGGCTGTTTTAAAATACATATAAATGCCATGGAGGGAAGAAAAGGTGATACTTTTCTGATCTTATTGTTTTAATGATTATTTTTTTATTCCAGATAAATGCAGAATTATTCACCATTTGTGTTAATCAACTAAATTCTGAACAGCGTGAAGCCTTACATACAGCCTTAACAGCTCAGTGAAAATTCATGTTCATCTGTTATTGTTACCGAAAGACTTGAACTCTGTTATTCATCAGTGATGCTTTGTTGTTAAGTTGAAAATGAAGACCTGCATTATGCAAACATATATACTCAAAACATAATATGCAAAATTTTACTGATTTTGAATTATTCTATGTAATGAATGGAAGTCTAATTGCACTGCATAATTTTTGCCATTTTTCTGAGGCTAAATTTATTTTCATGAAAGTAATGTTTTAAAGTAATTTTATTTTATAAAAATAATAAAAAGTTGCAATTTAGCATTCAAAACATTTTATGCAAGTAAAATTTCTGTAGAAAAGTAGGTAATTGTGATGCATTTTTACTCATGGATAACTAAAAGATCATCATTTTGTTTATTAGCATGTACACTATTTACTTTTTGTTAGTCAGAAAAACCTAAACTTTTAATGTCGAAGCAAAAGATAGTTTTTCTTGTTCATATGCATAAGGAAAAAAGGCTGGCTTATTTTTTCTAGCGAAAGCTAAAATTTGAACTGTATATTTTAATATCGATTTAGTTTTGTTATAAGACATTTTGCACAGAACAAGCACCTATTTTGTAAACATCAGGTATTGGGAAACATTCAACTAATGTGAAATTAAGGAATAATGTTTTGCAGTGACAGCAAAGAGGGGGGAAAAAAAGAAAAGAAAATCGTGATTGCTTGATTATTGAAATATTTTTTCTGTTTTGGCATGTTAAATTTATTCAGTATTAAAAATTTTACAGTAAGCCGTTTTTAAAAGTTTCTAAGTGGGAATTTTAAGCTTGAAAACAGTATTTTTCTGAATGCATCAGTGGAAAAAATATTAATACTAATGAAACTCATAACCATTCAGAAATTCCAGAAAGATTGTTTTTAAATATTCAATTTATCATAAACTAGATAATGGTACATATGTTTTAGAAATTCTGCAGTCTATTTTCGTTGCCATATTTCTTTAGTTATTCAGTTTATTTGTATTTCCTTATTGTAAGCAGTTATAAATGAAGCACAGAAGTAATTTGTTATAGCTACATAGAAATTTCATTTTTATCTGAGAGAGAGGTTTTTAATATAAGAAATGTGATTCATATTCATCTTGCTTGACATATCAATAAATACAATTTTTATTTACTCTTGTTTCATTTTCATCCTTGAATAAAAACTACATTTCTGTCAATTCTTAAAAAATTCACTTTCTACTTTTCTGGTTTTTTTATTAGCCTGATAATTTACTCAGTTTTAACTGTTTGAATATGGCAGAGCACACAAGGGCTATCTGTGTAAGGAGAGAGATGCATTCATAGAGGACTTTTTAAGGGAAATTATTTCATATTCTCGTAGCACATGGGAAAACTATTCACCTGGGATCAGGCCCAGATCATACTCCCAGTTTTAAGTGTTCTTTAACCCTCTAATGCCCACCACCAGAAATTTCCAAACAAAAAAATTATTTGTTAGTTAAAAGAGTGTTATTTTAGGTTATATAAAACAAACATGGCGAAAAATTGCGAAAAAAAATATTTTTTAACGTTAGCAAATATGCTACCATGGGAAGATTAGGGTACAAATCAAGTGATTTTCAAACACATTTTTTTTAGATTTCAGTTAGTTTATATACAGTTATGTACAAATGATAAGCTCTAAAAGTTTCTGTCCTTGTTAAAACAAAGATATTTATCACATTTATATTGAGTAAATGTTCCTCTAGCGCACTCTAGCGTTCCTCTCGTATGGAATTATTACACTGGCCAGTGATGCACACTATCAATTCTTTGATCCTAAAAGTAATAAATAATTGAAAAACAAATATTTAAGGTTACAATATTTATATTTACAGCTATGATATCTGCATTCTTTACAGATGCTACAGAATAATCAATGGATCCTGTGCCTTCTTTTTTCACTTCCTTCTCATTCTTTAATTTACATTTCATTAGCCTGTTTTCTCTCGAAGTTTCAGCAAATCCTATATTTTTCTTGGATAATTCATACATTAATGGGATTCGCAAAGATAGTAGTTTTTGTTGGGTTACTTAGAGTGCTGCATAACTGCATCACAACACCTGCTCTGAGACCTAATGCATAGGTAGATTGATCTCAATAGTAACCTTCAGATTTTCCAGTGTAAACATCAAAATCGTAACAAATGCCTGATTGTCTACTCCGTTCCCACATTTTTAAACCCCGTTTGCTATGAGGTTTTTTAGGGATATATTGTTTGATATGCATTGTCTCTCGAAATGGAATCATTATTTCATCAATAGACTGCTTGGTCTCACCTGGAACAGATAGCATGTTTTCTCGAAGTCTAGACAACCACGGTCGCACTTTCCAGCATTTGTCACTTCTAACATCATCAATTTGTGAATTATCCGCAATATGCAAAAATCTTAAGATTTTTTTCAAATCTATTTCTAGACATTACTTCTGCAATTGGTTCATAGTTTATTCCCTCTTCTCAATATCCTCTAATATGAGGTATAGGGTCCGTTCGTATTACTTGCTCTATTTCATTGCCGTCACCATAAGAGAAGTTCCTGTTGAACTCATTACAGATTTGTTTGTTCAACTATTAATTTTATCATATCTGTTGATATGACAATCTGAAAATATGCAAGAGCAAATGGAAGAGGTTCTGTAGGATCAGGAAATTTATCATCATTTGATGAAGGCATAATTAGGTTCTTTTTTCCTCCAGAGAATTTTAAATTTTTATAGCTCTTACGTAGATAGACACTTTCATTATTTGACGCATTTTGGTCATTTTCTACATCTTCATTATGATCTTGTTCTTCATCATCTGAGCTTCCTTTGTGGAAGATATCAGACACTTATGTAGGCATATATTCATCATCGGATAAATCACTTTCCACATCATTCATATATGCTATGGCATCTTCTAGTTTTTTAAACACGTTTCTTCCTCTTACTCTGTGGAAAAAGGGACCTGAAGTGCATGGCTGAAAAAAATTCAAAATTCCGAAAATTTTATTAAATTATTTTTTAGAATTTCATTCAATAAATAAAGTACAAATATATTAAAAAAAAACTTGAGGTTTAATAGAGGATTAAATTTATTTTTCAACTTAAATCTCAAAATGAATTTTCCTAGACAGGAAAAATATTTTTTAAATTAAAAAATATCAAAATTTAAATCCATAAATTGTATTAAAGGATATATTTATTATCTCTAAAATTACAAAGATTAAAGATCATGAACTAATTTTCAATGTAAAAACATATTTTCTTCAGAGAACTGCTAGGATTAGATAGACGAATGCTGCTACCATGATTTTAAAAATACATTTTGCCATTTAAAAACGATAATTTTGTAAAAGTTATTTTATACTGTGTGATACACTCACTTTTTTACTTTATATAAATAGTAATTATTAACTGTTTTATTAATAAAATATTTGTAAAATAAACGTCTTAAAATGTGCTTATAATGTTTGCTGCATGCTTCTAATTTTTTCCCTTTAAGCTGGTGCCGCTATCTATGCCTAACATTTGCTAGTAATACATGAAAAAGGTTCATTTTATAAATTTATGACATAAAAATTGCATTTCATATCGCTCTTGGTATAAAAACGTGGAGTTTAATATATGATAGCAAATATGCTACCATGGCCATTAGAGGTTTAACTACTCTGTCCCTGGTCGTAACCATCCGAGACTCAAAGCCTCCACACTACTTTATGACGTCACAGTCGTCGATCCTCTAAAAGCAAACATCGCCCGATAAGAACTGTGCTCCCTCCCGTATTTCCCTAAACTTTGTTTTTATATATACGTTTCATTCCAATGCTAGTCAAAGAATAAATTAGCAGTGATATTTCAATTGCAATAAATATTTTTATATTTTATGATTTCCAAATTAATTTTTGTTGCACTTGATGATTATTTCATAAACAAGAAAACTGAAAAATAACATGAGAATTACCTTAAGCAAACATAGAAGGAAAAGTAAAGGTTTAAACAGAAATAAACAAACAAATTTCATTCAAAAAAGACTTTATTCAAAATTCCCTTTTTATTTTAAATAGATTAAATACAAATCATATACACAGATAATTAATCATAAATAAAATTCACTCATGTTGTTTAGGTTATGCATATTATTTATAAAAATAAACAAAAAAATTACTTGAATAAATATTTGAGGAAAAAATGGCAAAGGCGAAAATGTACAGAATTTTTCCTAGGTTTAAGAATTTCCTTACTATTAAATTCTCAAAATGAAGTAGCAATATTCATATGCATTACAATAGAATCAATATTCAGTTTGTAGAATCAAAATACTCAATATTGTCTTACATTTAAAATAATGTATGTGGATAAATTACATTATGAACAATTTGTAAAAAAATAAAATCCACTGCAATTTTTACATTCAAAATAAATATTAATAATATTGTACTTTAACAAAATTAAATTGTTTTGTTTTGTTTTTTGTCCACTGAATAAAAAATAAAGAATTATATTTCATCTTATTCTATTTGTAAAGTTAATTGAAGAAAATTTCAATCTATATAACTGGAATATGTTTAAGGAAAAAAAAATCCTATGCATATCACAAAATTGTTTCACCTCCATCTTTACAAAGTGTTTTTCACGTTTTTCAATATGAAGACCGGATTATTACCGTATTTATGCGAATCTAATGCGCATCCCCATTTTAAAACTTTAAATAATAAAAAAATTGTTTGTCGGCGAATGTAATGCGCATCAATGATATATGAGGAATTTATTGAATCTTATTTTATACAACAATGGATTTGTATATAAACTATCAATTAATGGTATGATAATTTTATTTAAATTTAGATACCATATTTTATACAACAATGGATTTATACATAAAGTAGCAGAACATAGAATTAACCTATTAGTGGGCTATTGTCATGTGAAACAATCATTGTTAATTAGCACTACCGTATATACGGTACCTATCGTAAAATATGAACATGAAATAAATCGTAACATTTCTATCTAGCTAACAGTTTCTACAATCAGTGATTAATAGTAAACGTCTTTATTCACTAATGTTTTCATCACTGGAATCCTCGCAGCTCTCTTCGTCAGAAGCAGATTCATTTCTTCTTTCCTCATCATCGTCATCGTCATCCTCGGCGTTCCAGAGCACGTCATCGTCATCTCACTGCCATTCAATGAATTTGAAATGCAGCATTTCTTGAAAGATTTCACAATCATTGGTGCTTCGATGCTTTTCCAGGCAGCAGAAAAACCCAGTGTGCAACAATGTGCGGTGCAGCACGCTTAATTTTTCCTGTCGGGGTCAATACACGGTTTGGCTCACAAAACCATTTTTCGTACTCCGCCTGAACGTACCCCTTAAAAGGTTTATTTATACTAACGTCCAGGGGTTGTAACACAGACGTCATCCCTCCAGGAATGATAACAAGATCACTGCCTAGGCTGTGCATCTTCTTTTTTACGTCGTCGGTGAGATGACCACGAAATGCGTCCAGACAAAGCATTGATGGTGGATTAGAGAGCCCACCGGGACGGCGTTTCCATACATTTCGGAGCCAATCAAGCATTAATGATTCCGTCATCCACCCCTTCTCTTGGTTTCGAATCAGGACATCATCTGGGAACAGCTTTTCATTCTTAGGGGTTTTAGGGCATGTTTTCCGTTTGAAGATTAAGAAAGGGGGAAGTTTGCACCCGTCTGCTGTTATTGCCAGCATCACTGTTACGCGTTGTTTTTCACATCCCGAAGTTTTGATGATAACTTCCTTAGTCCCCTTCTCCGTAATGGTGTAGTTACGAGGCATATCAAACCAAATTGCCGTCTCGTCAGCGTTGCCAATTTGCCCCATTGAAAAATTCTTTTCCTTCCGAAGTGTGATGACATACCGCTGAAATGTTAGTAGTTTTCCCTCAAAATCTGCAGGAAGCTTTTGGCATATTGTTGTACGGCGTCTTAGAGATAAACCCATCCGCTTCATAAACCGATCCACCCATCCACGGCTAGCCTTAAACTCTTGTTTCGGTATTCCAAGAACTTCAGCCTCCTCTTTTGCTTTATTTCTTATGGTGTCACTAGTCACAGGTTGTCCATTCTTCCTCCTTTCCTTTCACGTACAAATTCCAAAACTTTTCTT